TTTTTTTTTTTTTCTTTGTACCGGGGATTGAACTCGGGTCCTTGCATTTGCAAGGCAGGCCACCAAGCCACTGAGCTAAATCCCCAGCCAGCACTCTGTAATATTCATAACCACTTTACTAGGTTTTTTTTTTTTCCATTCAAAGTTATAGAAACCCAGGTGACACTAGCCAAAGTGAATGAAAGTGAAAAATTAGCTTCAGACATGGCTGAATTTGGAGCCCAGACAATATAATTTGAGTCTCTCTCTCTTTCTCTCTGTAGCTCTTAATGTTTTAAAGCCAGTATCTAAAAAGAAACTGCTTTGTTCTAAGTACAATAAAAATCAAAACTACTTATTACCTATAAGTCTTGGATTGGCAAAAGTAGTGTATAACAAATTAAATTGTAATTATTTTCAAATTCAGTGTCATCTTTTTAAGCCAATAGAATAAATATACAAATAGTATCTATAATATTATAATATTAGAGTGGTACTTGAAAATTGTCATTTCTTAGGAACACATAAAAAGAAACACCACCTGCAATTTTCTTGTCTGATAAAGCAAGATAGTTCAAAATTTCTATTTTAATTATATAAATGCATCACAATTTTTCAATTTTTATTATGGATCCACTGGTTAGAATTTAATCGTACATGTATAAAGATTTAAAGCTGTTATTTTGTCCATAATTTCATATGCTCCTATCATAGTTAGTGCCCGAACTAGTTGATTTCTTAAAGCAGCAGCAGTTAGTGATAAGTTTTCAGTTTTCCACTCAACAAATGTTTGGTAAGCTCTTTCATTTAATGAAACAGGGCTGAAAAAGTTAAAATAGCAATTATAAATTAAGGACATTATTTTAAACTACTTAAACATTGCATCTAAGTTTTCAAACCAATTCACCAGTGTCTGAAATTAATTGGTAAGGAGGGGCTATGGCAGAGGTTAGCAGAGTTCAGCATTTAGAAAGTGAATGTTAGCTTTTTCCTATCTCTGTTTCATGATAAAAAGACAATTCAACTTACATTCAATTCTTAAGATCTCAAAACCAATGCAGCATTGCTACTGTACTGCATGCTTTATGTCTTCATCTCATTGATCCTCGTGACACCTCTTCCATTTTACCAGTGAAGAAACTAAATCACAGGGAGTTTAAAGGACTTGCCCAAGGTCATAAAGCCGGCTGGGATAAAAGGCAGGTAGAGACCTTTGTCTTTATCACATTATGTCACAAATATCTAATGAACTCAAATGAGTCTTCTATGGTAAAGTACAATAAATAATATGAATGTTTCAAAACTATGCAATATTGGAATTACCTTTTTTTTTATACCAAGGATTGAACTCAGGACCTTGCTCTTGCGAGGCAGGCAGAGGCACCACTGAGCTAAATCCCCAGCACCATGCAATATTAATATAATCAGAATATGAGAATAAATTTTAGCAAATGCTGTCATTCATACATACCTCTTTGTAGGGACATCAGTTTCTGAGTTTCTCAGGTTTAGTTTTTGACACAAAAATTCAAAATTTGTTTCAGTGATATTGTTGGCAACTATCTTGAATATCTTCTGTAAGATTTTCTCTACATTTGAACATAAAAGAAAATTTAAGATATTTCTTTTGAAAAAATATTCTATTTTAAGTTGTCTGTGCTTATATCAAATATGTGCAAAGTTGAAAATGGCAATACAGATCTAAAATATGAACCAAAATTTAAACCATTACTTCCAAACTCTGGAAAGTCCTACTACTTAAAATAGCTGTTTAAAAGGATATTATAAGCAACTTTCCCTTTTTCTTTCCCTCTCCTTTCTTTTCTCTCTCTCTATCTCTCTCTCTCTCTCTCTCTCTCTCTCTCTCTCTCTCTCTCTCTCTCTCTCTCTCTCCCCCTTCCTTCCTCCTTCCTTTCTTTCCTTCCTCTTTCTTCTTTTCTCTCTCCTCTCTCTCTCCTCTCTCTCGCTCTCTTTTCCTTTCTTTTTCTTCTCAGGGTCTTGCTATATAGTTTAGGCTGAGCTTTAACTCACTATGTATCCCAGAATGGTCTGGAACTCTCAGCAATCCTCCTGCCTCAGCCTCCTGAGGCATGCACCACCACATACAGCCAAGCAACTTTAAAGTGACTTTCAAACTCTTTAATTCTCTTGGGACTTGAAGTGAATTTGATGTTTTCCTTCAATTCTGGCTCTTTTATTTGCTTATGCAATAATAAGTGGCAAAGTCAGAGTCCTAAGGAAAAGCCTAGGAGCCCAGATAAGCTTCCTTTCCAGAGGCTCAGAGAAAACAGTATCCAGATATAGTATCCAGATATGGAAGGACTTTCATGTAGTTTCCAAAGAAAATTACCTGCTCTGTGAGGTAATCAAAGACATTCCATGGAGAGATCCAGGACAGAAAGCATAAAGACTCTTCAAGATTTCAGAGAGATTGCCACAGTGTGCCAGAATCAAACTGACATCAGTGAGAAGAATCTGTGGACTTCTTTCAAGGTAAATATGTTTTTAAGAACAATCACATCTTGAAAAACAGATCAGAAGTAAAGAAATCCATATATAAATTCTCTGAGTCTACAATCATGAAAAGCCTAACCGAACGTAATTAAGGTCAATGGGTAGGTAGCGGCCCAACTCTCCAAATGATTTGTCTGTTATCAATGATTCAGTTCATATGGCCCTATATTAAATAATCGGATTATCAAAATAAACTACTAACATTCACCCTAAGTGATAAATATTTTAAAGTCTCTGCCAGATTGAAAAATCTCTAGTCAAAGCTGCTATGTTTTCATTCACAAATGATACCAGAAGATTGCTTGTAAGATAATTGTTATAGTTTATGTCTGCATGTCTTCCCAACGTCTCATGTGCTCAGAGACATGGGCTTTTGGTTTATAGGGGTGCTGCCATTGGCTTGATGTTGGAAGCTGGGGCCTTGTCCAAAAAGAAAGGTCACTGGAGACATGACCTGGAAGGGTATATCTCCCTGGCCAGCTCCTCCCTTCGCTTTCTGCTTCCTGGCTTTCCTGATATGAGCAGCTTTTTGTCTCCATGTTCCTCTGCCATGAGGTTTCTTCCTTGGAGCCTGCTGACTAAGGACTGAAATGTGAGCCAAAATAAACATCTCCTTTAAGTTATGGGTGTTGGATGTTGTGTCTTAGGAACAAGAAAGTGGCTATGACATAATCAATCGCTCATCACCTACCATCTCTTTCATCTGCCCTCTGTAGATAGCAGGCAATAGTATACAACTGTTTTCCTTCACAGATTTCTATTGGAGGTCTCAGCAAAGGGTTGTCATCAAAGTTTATCTCCTTCAGTGAAGTAAGATTATAGATGGCACTAGGCAGAACTGTGAGATTATTTCCTAACAGAAAAAAGTTATGATTGAATAATACTTTTCTGTAAAATGAAACTACAGAGACATGAGCTAGTATAGAGAATGTATTGTCTACTACCCTCCACCCCTCCCTTTGTACAAATAAGCCATTAAAAAATGAGAAACTAGGGCCAGGGATTTAGCTCAGCAGTTCGGTGGCCTGCCTTGCAAGCTCAAGGACCCTCAATCCCCGGTACCAAAAAAAAAAAAAAAAAAAATAAAGAGAAACTAGAGACATTTATAGCTAAGTGGATGCACATTGAGGCCATACTCTTTAGTGAAATAAATAGAGCACAGGTGTAAATATGGAATAGTTTCTCTGGCATGAGAAGCTGAAAGTGTAAATGAAGCTCAAAATGTATAATAGATAATGTGAAATGGGAAGAAAGGGGAAGGGGAAGTGGGAAGGGCAGAGGAAAGGAAAGAAGGGAAGGAACAAATACGAGATAAGAAAAAACTGGAAACAAAGTGTGCACTCCTTTTTATTAGTAAGACATATTGCATTAGACCAGGCACGGTAGTATATCCCTGAAATACCAGGACTTGAGTGGTTGAGTACAGAGGATCACAAGCTCAAGGCCAGCCTGGGCTACATAGTGTGACCCTGGCCCCCAAAGCAATAAACAAACAAACAAATCGTTCACTCAGTGAAGGGTTTGAGGACAGAGTTTCCAGCTGGATGATTATGAATAATGCCACCCTTGTCTGAGCTCATGTTTTGTAATTGAACAGTGATAGTTTATTATAGAGTTAACTTGTATTTCTCTAACTAATTATATTTAGCATATTTCTTATATGTACTTACATGTTTTCTACATTGTTTGTAATGATCCATTCAAAATTTATATGATTTTATTGAATTTACTTTTTCTTTCTTCCTTCCTTTCTTCTCCCTTTCTTTCCCTCTTCCTTTCCTTTTTCTTCCATACCTTTCCTTTCCTTTCCTTTCTTCTTTCTTTCTCTCTTTCTTTGTGGCAGAAATTAAATCCAGGACCTTTACACTGAATTACATCCCCAGCCCTTTAAAATAGTTTTTTTTATTTTGAAGCAGTGTCTTACTAAGTTATATATATTTTTGTCTATGTTTTTATCCATATGTTTCATAGATTTAGCTTTTACAGTTAGTTCTGTGGTTCATTTCGAGTTAATTTTTATATGATGTATTATGTGGATCAAAGTTTCCTTGTGGTCATTTGGGTTGTTTCATTTTCAACTTTGGATATCTGGTTTTTCCGCAGCAGTTGTGGAAAGTTATATTCCTTCACTATGTATTACTTTTGTACATTTGTTAAAAATCAGTTTATGTGTGGGTCTATTGTTAGATTCTATTCTATCCCATCAATCTTGATGTCTGTTGTCTTGCCAATATCATACTGTCTTCACTACTGTAGCTTAAATTGTTTCAGCTATTCTGTTTCTTTTGACTTTTTATATAAATTTTAGACTTAACTCCATCATTTTCATTTTTCTTTTGTTTTCTAAAATAAACATTGCTGGTATTTTTATTACAACTGAGTTTAATTTGGAGATAAATTTTTGAAGAACTTATATACTAATAATATCGAGTCTCCCATTTATAAACACTGCATAATCTCATTTATTTAGGTCTTTAGTAATATTATGTTTGGAGTTTTCAGTATACTAATCTTCCATATACTTTGTTAAATTTTTACCTATTTCATGCTTTTTGCTGCTGTTTTGAAGGGTGTTTCACATTTAGTTTTAATCACTAATTGTTATGGCTTGTGCTTAGCTCTCCCCCCAGAGCCTCAGGCTCTTTTAGGGGTGGCTGAATCCAGAGTGTGTGACTGATTCATGGTGGGGGAGGGTAGGCCAAGGGCACTAGGATTGAGTGTGTGAATACCATCTGTCCTAAGTGGGCTGAATTCAATAAAAGGGTCAGAAAGACACTGCTAAGACCTTTCCTTGTTTTTGCTACTGTGTGGGCACTATGAGCTGTTTCTCCTCTGAGATGCCCCTCTGCATGTGCTACTCTGCCTTGATGGACTGAAACCTCTACAAATTGTGGGCTAAATAAACCCTTTCCCCTTTAACTTTGAGTGCCGGGTATTTTGTCTCAGCAATGAGAGAAAAGCAACTAAGGTGCTACTAATGTGCAGAAGTGTGATTGATTTTTTGAACTTTATATATGGCAATTTTGCTAAATTCACTTATCAGTTCTAGTACTTTTTTGGTTGACCCTTTGGGATATTCTACCTTGACAACATGTTTCCATTGTCAAAGATCATTTTTTCTTCTTCCTTTCCAATCTGTATAATTCTAATTTCTTTTTCTTGCCTTCTTACACTATCTAGGACTGTTTTTTTAAAATTATACTTTTTTATATCGTGTCATATCATGTTCTAGCATATATATGTAGTCAGAAGTTCATATGGCTTTTCTGTAGCCCATTGATATAATAAACTATGAGTTAATTTTTAAGTGTCAACTCAGACTTGCATTCCCAGTATAAATCCTACTTCACGATATATTATAATTTTTATATTGATGGATTTGATTTGTTTTAATTTTCTTAAGGAATTATGCATCAATATTCTTGCAGGATATTGGTCTATATATGTCTGACAAGAAATATCTTGGTTTCATTATACTATCAGGATAATTCTGGCTTCAGCTTTATAAAAGATAATTTTTTAAAATTGCCATTGTTTCTTCTTTAAATACTTGATAGAATTTACTAGTGAAAATATCTGGACCTGCAGTTTTGTGTAAAACCTTTTAACTATAAATTCAATTACATGAATTAAGCACCATCTATTAGCCATCACCATTGATGCCAGCAGCTCCTTCTGTAGTCCCCTTATATGCTATATCAGGGTCAGTCAGTATAGTCAATAGAATAGAGCACATGTAATGTTATGTCACTTTCAAGACTAAGTCTTTAAAGATACTGTTGCTCCTGTCTGGGATGTATTCTGTGTCCCTCACTCTCCCATGTCTTTCATGTCACAACAAGTTCATTAGGCAGGGAACTAAAGCCTGCTGCCAATAGCCTTATGAGCAAATTTGGAAACAGATCCATTAGTCCCAATAAAGCCTGACTGTAGCCCCAGTTGACAGGTTGGCTGAAATCTCATAAAAGACTCTTTCGTAGAACAAGTTAGCTAAACTGCTCCTAGATTCCTGATCCTCATTAATTTAAGAAGCTAAATTTGTGGAAATTTGACACACAACCATAATTAACTAATATAATAGCTAATGGCCAAAAGTACTGAGCTGTGATATGAAGAGCTGCCAAATTCAGAGGAGGCGTTTGTAGTTTTAGTCCAGTGACAATGTAAGTGTGCTGGGCCAATGGCAGCAACAATAACAAAACTCAACATTCTTTGGAGAGAAACTTGCAAAGTCTGTGACTCAACATATAGATAAAACGTGGCACACCATTAAGAGAAAAGAGGACTTAGTTGTTGTCCTTAACATGTGAGTTTTTAAAGCCACTAATATAAATACTCTCAAGAATGTAAAGCAAGATATGCCATAATACATGAAAACATTAGGAGTGAAACATAAACTATAAAAAATAGAAACTCTAGAGGAGAAAAATATAGTATCTGACAAAAAATTAATTGCCTGGACTTAGAATAGAGATTATGGAAGAGTCTATGAACTTGAAAACAGATTAAATCAGGGAAAAGAAAAAAATGTGAGAGAATGAAAAGATGAAAATAAAGTGTTTGTAGATGGGGAGGGGAGGAGGGGGTGAAGGGAGGGCAGAGGTAAGGGGAAAAAATGAGAATCAAGACTTGCCATGTAGAGGTACAAGATCCCAACAATGAATGTAACTGTAATGTATCCCTAAAATGTACCAATAAACTCAATTAAAGCTGAAAAAAAAATAAATCAAGATTACATATACGAGGCCAGGGATTTAGCTCAGTGGTTCCACCACCTGCCTTGCAAGTACAAGGACCCCAAGTTTGATCTCTGGTACAAAAAAAAAATTACATATACACAACACACTAGAGAGATTATCACAGGGTAATTTTAAGGAAGTGTGAGTCCATATAAATAGGTAACTGGGGACAGAATGAGGCAGAAAAAATATTTTAAGAAATAATGGTTGAAAAAATCTTCAAATCTGGAAAAAACATTGACAATAAGCTCAGTGAAATCAAAAATATAAAAAAAAAGTCATAAGATGGATGTCATGAAAAAAACGGGTAGGATACATTAAAGAACCAGTTTTCACTGAAACATAAATTGGCAAAGACTTACAATTACTTTCAGAACTCTGGAATCTAATCCAAATCATACAGCAGCCAGGAAATTGCTTAATAATGAAAATGAGCAGGATTTTGGTGAGTGTGCCATGTCCTTTTCATTCACACAGTTGCATCCCAAGTTTCTCAGCATGGCAGCTGAGCTAATATGAGCTGCTGCAAGAGAGCTGATATAAACCTTGTTCTTAAAATCCTATGTTTGCACATTTTGACCTGTCCTGCGTTTCTCTGAGAGACTGGCACAGAGGCACAGGGGAGAGCAGCTTTCCTAATGGTGCTTATTGTAATCTTTAAAGCCATACACTGTCCTATAGTTCTTTTGTTCCTTTTTTCCTTTTTGTTCCTGTACTCCTTTGTGTGATTTTCCACTGATAAACACACACATCCAAATGGTTAGTACTAATAAATTCAGCAAGACTGCAAGATACAAGCTGGGCGTGGTGGCGCACTCCTGTAATCCCAGCACTTGGAAGGCTGAGGCAAGAGGATCCCTGTGAGTTTGAGGCTAGCCTGTGGTACATAGTGAGACCCTGTCTCAAAAAACCAAATTAATTAATTAAAACTACAAATTTAAAAAAAGACTGCAACATACCAAATCAATTTATAAAAATCACAATGAATAGTCCAAAAAGGAAATGAAGAAAACAATTTCATTTATTATATCACATCAAATAGAACAAAATGCAGTAGTTTGGTCTAACATACATTTCACCAGAGCTCCAGACAACTGAAGAAAGAGTGGTATGCAGAAAATGTTTTAGGAGATAATAGTTCAGAATTCTCTACAACACTTGAAAAACATCTATTTACAGACAACCAGAAGCCCAACAGAAGCCAGGAGGAGTAAATAGAAAAATCCACTCACAGTCATGCACAGAATAAACCCATATAAATCCAAAATAGGAAATATTTGCAAAAGATGTACCTGACAATGGACTATTATCCAAAAAGAACACTTGATCTGGGGATTTAGCTTAGTGCTGCCATACTACCTTACAAGCACAAGGTCCTGGGTTTAAGTCCCTGGTACCAGGAAAAACAACAACAACAACAAAAACTGGACAAAGAACACTTAAAACTTAACAATAAAAAACAACTGAAAATATCAAAATCAGAAAATGGACCAAAGATTTCAACAAACACCAAAGTAGTACAAACAAGCAGGTGAAAAGATGCTCTATATCTATATCTACAATTATGCAACTTAAAGTAACTATGGAAAATATGTTCACCTTCCCCAGCTGGATCATAAAAGCTTTATGGCAAGAATTAGACCTTGTACTTTGCTCTCATTTTCTGTATCTAGGACAGCCTTATTTCTCCAGTGGGCATGTAATGCAATATGTTGACTTAGCCATTATGTATCTTGTCAGCAGAATTTGCAACTCTGACATTTTATTGATTTATTGGTTATGCTTGATACTCACCGCTTAAGTTTAGTTGATGGAGCTCTTTCAAAGTTAAAAAAGATGGTGGAAGATCACTTATTTGATTGTTATGTGCATAAAAACTAACCAGACTTCTCAATTCCCCTATATTCCTTGGAATCTCTTTGATTGCATTGTTTGAGATATCAAGTTTTTTAAGTTGAGTTATCTTAGCCAGCTCTTCTGGAAGTTTTGTTAACTGTAACAAAGAATAAACAAATGCTTTATAAATCCATAAATATTTGTATGACTAAAATTTTCTCTAAAATCAAATGAAAGGAGAAAGTTTTGCTTGTTTTTGTTTTGTCTTAAGGACATATTTTCATCTGTAACAGATTCTTTGTAACTTCTTCTGATGGCTGAAATCCACAAGATACTGTGTGGAAACAAAATACTTCCCCAACCTATCCAATGCTACCAACTCAACCCTGTAGTTTGCTAACCCATCTTCTTCATTCTCCCAACGCTCAATGTTCATTGTCTCCTCTTCCAAAATTTCTTTCCTTCCTAAATTTGACCCTCTTTGCTTTTTTTTTTCCTCCCTGAAGTCTTTCCCAGTGTCTCTAGCTCACATTTGATATCTGTATACCCATTCTCATCATCCTTGACATTTACTCATTGCTTATGGAATTTTCCTTGAATTCTTAATACAATAGGCATGTTTTGTACGTACTGTATATTGTTTACAGGCACAGTGGACTTTGAGGAAGTGCTCAATATTTGAGTCACATAGTTGAGCAATGTGGCCTCAAAAATTTCTAGCACAAAGTGCTGCAAAATAATAGTAATTATGAAAACATAGTTAAAGTGAAGGAGAATATATGCACAGCAAAAATAAGGATATTTTGAGTGGCTTTTGTTCTATGAGTGAACAAAAGAATTTTGAACATGTAGGCCCCTCAAAAAAGACTAAACAATGAGGAACATATGGGATATTGTGCTCAGTGTTCTTCCACATATGAAAGTAGCATAAGAGATACTCTCTAACTTCAAGGAGATTAGTTTGGTCAAGGGAACAAAACACAAACTTATGAAACAATCAAGCATTAGATAATTCAAGGCCAAAATAAAGAGTACAAGTATTAACAGTTGTATAAAAATTTATAGACAGTACATCCCTGTTACGGCTTATATCTAGATGACCCACCAAAGCCTCCTGTGGCCATAGGTAGGGCTTTTTCAGAGTTAGCTGGACCTAAGGAGTGTGATGGTGAGATTAAGGCTGTGTGATTACTAATTTAGTTCACTGACTGGTTTGGCATAGTTCTGAGACAGAACTATGAATATAAAGGGACAGAAAGAAGCTGCTATTGCCACTTGTCCCTTGGTGCATGCTTGCTGCCTTCTGTCTGCCGTGATTTACCATGGGCTGTGAATCCTCTGTCATGCCTTTCTACCATGCCACCCTGCTTTGGAGCCTGCCAACTGTGGACTGAAATATTTATGAACTGTAAGCCAGGTAAACTTTTCTTTCCCCCTTTAACTTTGGGTGTTGGTATTTTGTCTCAGCAATGAGAAGAGTAATGAAGATAATCCCCACAAATGAGAGAATTAAAGAAAAACTTCATAGAGAAGATGTAACTTGAATGGCCTTAAGAATTAATAGGATTGGATAAAAGTTATAGGACATTGAAAGCAAGACAAATCATGCATTAAAATGGCTGTGAGAAGCTGATCAATAAGGAGAAATGAGAGGAAGCACACAGAGATGTGTTAGGATGAGGAGTGGACAGCACAGCTACTGCAAGATAGGACTGCTACGCCTGTGAAGTAGGAGTTACAGCAACACAGGTGGACAGGCATATCATTGGAGCTTCCTTCAAACAGATATCCTTTAACAATTTGCTCGGTATTAATTAGCAGATGTGTCTGAGAGCTGGTACTATGGGATTAGCACATAGCACATCGATCCTCAATAGTGTGGAAGGTAGGCTCCTGCTGAGCATCCTTGTTTAGCAAAAGCTCTGTGGTTAGCCTGACTCATTTTCCTTAGATGACTGGTTAGTGTTACATATATTAATTCTTCGGACAATTTACCTCCAACCCTAATGAGCTATTGTAATATTTTCAATCACACAAGATATTCTTCTTGAGAGGGGTTTTGTGTGTGTGTGTGTGTGCGTGTTTGATTGGTTTGCTTTAGTTTTTTGAGATAGAATCTTGCATTATAGTCAAGGCTGGCCTTGAAACTCATGGTCATCTTCCCTCAGCTTCCCAAGAGCTTGGATTATAGGCATGCACCTCCATGTGTGGCTTAGGAGTGGAGTCCTGGAGACTTTTAAAAAGATATTGTAATTCTGTGAACTAGTGCCATAGGCAACCACCTACTTTGAGTAGAAATAGATATGTATTCTGGGTCCTTAAACACAGGTGGTTCTGCTGGCTGCCTCGCAAGTGCAAGGCCCCGAGTTTGATCCCAGGTAGCCAAAAAAAGTATAGTCTTCTGAAATGAAGTCTAATATCTCTGACAAGCCCTGCTAAAAGGGGAAGACAGAGTCAGAAAGAATAGCCAGGGGACTTATAGCATAATTTAGGTGTGAGGTGAATGATGACCATACGCCAGGATGGAGGCAGTGACATTGGCAATTCCAGGGAAAACTGGGACCGTGGGTTTAGCACGTTGGTCTAGACAGCTCCTGTTATATAGCTTTGAGGCTTACGCACAAAGAGTTAATAGAAAAGCGAAAGTTAAGGACACAACCTTGGAGACACAGTGAGAATACAAGAAGAGAGAGTGAGATTATAAATTAGTCAAGGAATTAGTTCATGATTGTATCACAGAAATTTGTGTCTTTTATTACAAAAGCAACTTTCTAAACACATACATAGCATTATTCAGTCCATCTACTTATGCAAGTATTACCTAAAGTAACCTTGCTAGAAATGTATTATGTAGTTTATAGGTGCTATATTTAAAAGGTCAAATAATTTTGGCCATGTGCTATATCTCCACACCTTTGCATTATTATTATTAATTATTATTATTATTATTATTATCATCAGGATTTTGCTCCTTTGGTCATGGGACTAGGATTTGTAGGAACAAACCTGGGGAAATCTTGATGTAGATAGTAATCTTGCATTAAAGATAGCTAGATAATTGTTATGGTTTCTGATATCTTAGGATAAATCATTTATTTAAAAAATTTTGTTAGTAAAAATTTTTTCCCACATTGTAGGTTGTCTCTTAGCTCTGTTGATGGTTTTGTTTGCAGTGCAGAAGTTTTTTAATAAGATGAAATCCCAGGTGTTGATTCTTTCTGCTAGTTCCCATGAGACTGGATAAAGAAGATGTGGTTTTTCTATAAAATGGAATACTACTCAGCCATAAGGAATAAGAAATTAGATTCAGTCATAGGAAAATGGATACATATTGAGGATATACTCCTAAGTGAAATAAATAAGTCACACATGTGTAAATATCGAATAGTTTCTCTTGTGTGAATAGACTATAATAGTACATAAGATCCTAATGAGATAATTGACAATGTGAAATAGGAAGAAAAGGGCTAAAGGCGTAGGGAAAATGGGAAGGGTAGGGGAAAGGTAATAAGGGAAAAGAAAAAATATGAAAAAAATGGAAATAAAGTGTTTGTAAACAGGGAGGGGAGGAGGGAGTGAAGGGAGGGCAGGGACAAGGGGAAAAAGTGAGAACCGAGATCTGTCATGTAAAGGTAAAAGATCCCAGTGATGAATGTAACTGTACTGTATACCTAAAATGTACCAATAAACTCAATGAGGGGAAAAAAATAAATAAATAAAAATAAAAAATTTTGCAAAGTATTTTTGAGCCTGGGAGTATAGCTCAGTGATAGAGCACAAGTATAGCGTGCACAAGGCACTGGATTTAATCCTCAAGATCCCAACCCCCAAAAAATATATATACATGCCAATAATTTTTTACAATAGTACACTTATGAGATGAATTTAGAAACTTATTTTCTTAACTTTCTGATTTTCAACAGTGTGATTATATGAAATTTGTAATTTAAAACTACTTTTACAATAAATTGAAATAAAAATAAATCTACAAAATTATCAGCTTAATTTGCTTAGCTTTTGCATTTTAATGAAATAGATTTCTGTAAAACTTCTATGTTGAAAAGTATATCTGTAAGCCATGTTTTGGCAGTAGTTGGAAGGGGCCTATTCTTTAACAAGCAAAGCATTTCAATTAAGTTTAAAACACACATACATATCCATGCAGATACATATACTACACCCTGGATTCTGGTCTATTCTAGTCCCTCTTTTCCCCAAATCCCAAAATATCAGTCTCTTACCTTTGTCCCATTTGCCTGACTTATATCCAGTTCTTCCAGTGATTGAAGCTGGCACAGTTCAATAGGAAAATGTATAAATTGGTTGCTTGAGAAGTTTAATTTCTGGATTCCTTTTAAATTACATATCTCTGAAGGAATTGTCCATAGTTGGTTTTCAGAAAGATCCAGTACTTGCAGTTTTTCTAAAGTACACAGTTCTCTAGGGAAAGTTTCAAACTTATTACTGCATAAAATAAGTACATGGAGAGATACCATATTGGAAATAGATGGTGGAATTTTCCTTATTTGGTTTTTACCAAGATTCAAAAATTTAAGATTAGTGAGAGAACATAAGTGATCAGAAAATATGAGGAGTTTGTTTTCATTTAATTCTAAGTGAAGCAATTGTTTACTGAAAGATATATCCACAGGTATTTCTGAAATAGAATTTGCATTAAAACTCAAATAATAAAGTGAATCTAAAGCACACAGTCCCACTGGGAATTGCAGTATTTTATTATAATTCAATTCAACTTTAGTTAGTTTTCTGCAATTTTTTATTTCAATCGGTACATTTTTAATTATATTTCCTGAAAATTCCAGACTGCATATATTATTAAGATGTGCAATATCTTCAGTTATTCTCACTATATAGTTTCTGTTTACATGGAGTTTTCTTAAATGTTTAAGCTTATAGATGTTCTTAGGGAGTTCTGTTAATTTATTATCACTAAGACTAAGGCATTCCAACATTACACAGTAGGAAATTCTTTCTGGTATATTTTTCAATACATTTTTATCAAGTATAAGAATCCTAAGTTCTTTAAAATTCTCAATTTTATGTGAAATAACCTCCAGTTTATTGTCAGCTACTTGGAGTTGTTTTATTTTACTTAACTGAAAAATTTCCACAGCCAAAAAGGTAAGTTTATTGTGATCCAGTAAAAGGTTTTCTAAACTTTTAAGTTCCCTAATTTCTTTTGGCAAACTGCCTATCATATTCCCAGTAAGGTTTAGTGAAATTAATTTTGGAAGGAAGCAGAGAGCGCTAGGAAATATTGTTAACTTGTTATATTCCAGATCAAGAATCCTCAAGTTTTGCAAATAAGGCAGAGTGTCTGGTATGTGTCTTAATTTATTTTTACTCAAACTTAAAACTTCCAAGTTTCTAAGACTTTCTATGCCAGGAGAAGGAAAATTCTCAATATAATTGTCATTTAAAAAGAGTTGCCTTATATTCCCAAGATGCAATATTTCTTTAGGTATATGTGATATTTGGTTGTGACTAACATTTAATATCCTTAAATTATGAAGTAACAGAATTTCTTGTGGAAGTGATGATAACTCATTATCTTGCAAGGATATAATTTCAAGTCCTAGCAGATCATCTAAATCTGCCCCTTGAAAAGTTTTTATTTTATTATTGTCTAAGTATAGGTATTTTATATATTTAACTTTTAAGCTGTCCTTAGGGAATTCTTGTAAACCGTTAGCCTCAAGATTAACTGTAAAGTTATGTGACCCTAAGTCAACTTCCTGGTTTTCTTCAGAGACTTGTGCATTAACTTTTCTTACATTTTCATGAGACAGGATACTAACTAAAGCTTGAAAGCCTGTAGTTGTTTCAGTTACTGATAAAGAACTTTGTGGAGTTTCTGGTTCTGACAGTGGGCTGGTATCTCTGGTACTTGTTTCAGAAAACTGAACATTTTGTACTTGATCTTCATTTTCATTAGATTTGCTTCCAGTAGAAGACACTGACTTTAATGAATCCTTTTCAGTAAGAGTTTCATAAATCTCGTTAGAAGAATTCCCTTCCAGGTAATGGGAAGCTTCATTTAATGAATTTGATGTTTCTGTAATAAATTCAGACTCCTCCATTGACTGTGACCTAAATTATCTAGAGATATCTTCTAGGTCTGCTGAAGTGCCCTCCTTTTCTGATATGATATCATATTTGCTGATAAATCAGCTCAAGATTATGATCAGCTCAAGATTGTAACTCTAATTTTTCCATGTTTTAGCGCAGTGGCATCCCATCTGCTGGGCAAGCACAAGATTGAGTTCAATCCCTGATACCTAAATAAATAAATAGAAATAAAAATAAAAGAATACAGAGAATAACAATAGATAATACACCATGTATCCTGATCTTAAAAGAATGGCCAAAATGTTACTCAGAGTACAAGTCATAAACAAAAAAGACTCTCTTACAAAAAAAGAAACAGATAATATCACAAAACTTTCTTTTCAGTGAACTAAGAGAAACTAGCATAAATGAAACAAGTTAGCATAGATGTTGAAATATTTTTGAAATAATGGAATAGTGAATTTGAGGAATTATTTGAACTTCCTATCCCCCTGTCTTCTATTTTGCTCTTTATTTATACATGCATATGTTTTGAATTTCTCATATAAGACAAAGCATGCTATATTTAATCTTGTGTATCTGACTTATTTCACTTAACATTATTTCTCATATTGCATCCAAGCCAGGCATGGTGGTGCATGCCTATAATCCCAGCACTTGGGAGGCTGAGGCAGGAGGATCACTGTGAGTTTGAGGCCAGCCTGAGTTACCTAGTGAATTCAAGGACAGCCTGAACTACACTGTGAGAACCTTCCTCAAAAAAAATTTTTTTAAATCAAGTTGCATCTCTTTGCCTACAATGCCTCAAATTTATATTTATGTTAAAGTAGTACTCCATTATGTACAAGTATCACATTTTCTTTATCCATTCATCTGTTGATGAACATCTATATTGTTTCAAAGATCTAGCTATTATAAATTGTGCTGCTATAAATACGGGTATGCCTGTATCCCGGTAGTATGATGAATTTACCTCTTTTGGCAATATATGTAGAAGGGGAATAGCTGAGCCAAATGAAATTTCCATTTTTAGTTTTTTCAGGAATCTCTACCCTGTGATTAATCTCATCAGTTGTCTTCCCTAGTATACTGAAAATGAGATTGCCTCAGAGTCATTAGAGACTCAAAGCCTAAAGACCAGCTATACCTGGAAGAAATCTGTGAGAAACAATCATTCAATAAGGTTCTAAATACAAGCAATAAAGATATGCACAATAAGTAATACTGAAGCATCAGCCCAGGAGTTAAACCAAAAACAGCATCAACAATAAAAATAGAAGTGAGAAGACACCTAAACAAAGCACTAAGTCAGACTTCCAGCTCACCACAGGCAAATTCTTAGAGCAAGGAAGTGGAAAATTCTGATAATCAACCACCTGGGCACCCTGAACTGATAGCATGGTAAGGAACAAAACAAATGAATGAGGCTCTAGACAAGTGAAAACAGGGGCCAGAATAATAATAGAATCACTGAGAGAAAAATTGGGGAAACAATTCCTTTTGCAATAGCATCCCAAAAATGAAATATCTAGGAATTTGTCGAACAAAGGAATTAAAAGACCTCTACCTTGAAGAGAATAGTGCTCTAAAAAAAGAGATCGAAGAGGATATCAGAAAATGGAAAGACATCTCTTGCTCCTGGGTAGGAAGAACCAATATGGTAAAAATGGCCTTACTTCCAAAACTACCATATAGATTCAATACAATCTGGATTGATATTCCACAGTATATTTCATAGAAATAGAGAAAACAAATCCAAAAATTCATTTGGAACCAGAAGAGATCTAGAATAGCAAAATCAATTTTAGGCAATAGAGACATGACAGAGGGTATCACAATCCCCAACATGAAACTATATTACAAATCACTGTGATAATAACAACATGGTACTGGCAAAGAAACAGACCCAAGGATCAGTGGAGTAGATTGGAAGATACAGAAACAACTCCAGACACACTCAGCCACCTCATTGTTGACAAAGGAGCCAAACACCCTCACTGGAGGAAAGATAACCTCTTTAATAAATGGTGTTGGAAAAACTGGATTGAAACCTGCCATAGATGAAAACTAGACTCATATCTTCCACTACACAGTAACTAAAAGCAAAGTGGATCAAATATGTAATTATTAAAATAGAAACACTAAACTTTCTGGAAGGTAGGTTAGGTAGAACTCTTGATATCATCAGCATAGGAAAAGACTTTATTAACAAATCATCAGTAGCACAGTAACACCGAGAGTCAACAACTGGAATCTTATTAAAAAGCTTTTGCAGTGCAAGACAAACCACCAACAGAGCTAAGAGAAAACCCAAAATGTGGGAAATAATTTTACTAGCTGTTCCTCAAAGGACTACTATCTTGAATATATAAAGAACTTAAAACAATCCTGCCAAATTTAAAGACCCAATCCAACAATGGGCATCTGAAATGAACAGTCATTTCTCAAAGAAGTAAAAGCAGCAATTAAACATATTAAAAAATGTTCAACATCACTGATCATTTGAAAGATGCAAATGAAAACAGCACTGAGATTCCATATGAGTCCAGAAAGAATGGCTGCTATCACGAAATCAACCAATAGTAAATGCTAGTGGGATTGTGGGAGAAAGGAACCCTTCTCCATTGATGGTGGGAATGCAGACTGGTGCAACTACTGTGGAAATCAATATGGAGATACCTCAAAACACTCGGATTAGAGGTCCCATTTGACCCAGCTATTGCCCTGCTAGGTATCTTCCCCCCAAATTTAAGAGAATCATACCACAGCAATATATGCACACCCATGTTTATAGTGACACAGTTTGTAATAGTTAAAACTTGGAAACAGCCCAAGTGCTCATCAACTGGAGACTGGATAAAGAAAATGTGGTTTTTTAAATATATATATATATATTACTACTCAGCCATAAAGAATGAGAAACTAGAGTCATTTATAGGTAAGTGGATGCTCATTGAGGCCATACTCAGGTAAAATAAACAGGACACACGTGTAAATACTGAATAGTTTTTCTTGTGTGAGAAACTGAAAGTGTAAATAAGAATCAAAATGTATAATAGATCATGTGAAACAGGAAGAAAAGGTCTACAGGGGAGGAGGAAGTGGGAGGAATAGGGGAAAGGAAAGAAGAAAAGCAAAAAATATGAGAAAAGGAAAAATGGAAACAAAATCTTTGTAAATAGGAAGGGTTGGAATGGTTGAAGGGAGGGCAGGGGAATGGGGAAAAAATAAGAACCAAGATATATTGTGTAAAAGTACAAATTCCCAATGATGAATGTCATTATATTGTATATCTAAAATGTACCAATAAATTTAATGGGAATAAAAGAATATGAGGGCTGGGGATTGAG